AGTGATGCAACTCTTCCACATGGAAAAAACATGCAAGGACACTAAAAGGCCAAGTCAGTTGTAGGGTTTATTCAGAATAATTTATAAGCAGTTTTTTAACCATAACTTCTGATCCTTAATATAGAATCCAATTGTTGAGTTGGTTTTGGTCCTAACTATAATACTTATTTATCATATTTATCAATTTTCTCTAAATTGCTCATATAGATACTCATTCAATCATAATCAAGTAAAAGAGGAAGAAGATGTATTAAGAAAGAGGATTATGGTGTTTTAGGAAAAAACATGTCACATTTCTTATAATTAACTAACTTATCTAATTTCCTTAATCTAATCAAATTAGTTAAATAGATCTTATATTAAGGATCGGAGGAGTACGATATAAGTATGTGGAAAAATTTTTGTCCTATAAAAAGTATTTATCAACACTTAAAATAAGCAAATGCAAACAAATTCTTAGTCTGGCAACTCTACATCCTGTCCTTATCCCACTTGACTTTGGGTACCACATCCTTTGTTGAAGCCCTCCCTACTTGACTTTGAGTACCACATATTACCTCTGATGTTTAATATAAGAGCTAGTTGACTGATTCAAATAGATTATGAAAACTAATTAAGTTAGTTATTTGTAATAAATATATTGTTTTTCCTACAATACCCTTGTTGATTATGTATATTAGTTAGAATTACCATTTGATGAAACATTTAACATGTACAACTGCTATAAGGATTATCTTGAAAAAATGGATAAATATGAGAAGTAGGGTAGATTCGAGTCTTATATTTAAAATCAAATTAAATGTCAAATTAACTCTTATATTAAAGATAAAAAATAGTATTTCAAAAAGCAATCCCTAGGAGCATCTCTCCTCCATTGATGTTTGCCTGTTAAGAATACAATCACTCAGGCCATGTCTGGCATGATGTTGGAAATAATTTGTAAGCATATTTTATGTAATTCGAGACAAAATTCATCTTACATACTTAACTCATATTCTGTAAATTATAATTGAGAGGTTAGTTATAAACTATTTTAAACGAGCCTCAGTGATACAACGGCCACGGCCATAACGACGTGTCAGTGTATTAAGATTAACAGGGTCAAGACGTAAGACAGAGACGTACTTGGCTTCTTTCCATGTGCATGAAAGAACCGCAAGATATTTTTAGGGGTCTTACTCTGAAAGTTGTAATGCCCTAGAAAATTCTGGACCAAACATTTTCGTTAGATTTCTTTCCCCTGAGGTTGGATACCACGACACTGGAAACTCCTGTTGGTTACTAAGATATATATACAAAATGTGTCATCACCTAAGACCTACGCTTGGAATAAATGAGAATGCCAGTGTGGTGGTTGCATATTATTTATTAGGATACCTACAACACAGCCATGTTTCAGTACTTATCTCATGCAGCTGGAAGAAAAGAAACATTAAAAGTAGTTGTAACGTGCTCATCTCAGCAAGAGAATTATATACACACACACCAGTTGTATCAGGGATGCGAGGGAAACAGAAGAATTGATCACATGAGGATGAAGAAAAAAAGCTTCAGAAACAGAGTAAGAACAGGGACGGAACAGGACATATATATGCTCGTTTTCTGCTAAGTTGCCTCTAACTTCGTTTAGACGACAAGATATTTTATCTATTTATTCATTCCCTTACCTTTTGGAAACACGAGACCAGGCCCACTAGCTAATCTCACAATCAACGCTTCCAAATGAAAGCAGTTGGTGGTTTCTGCACGAGTCATCGAATTAATTTAAAGTTGAATGGTATAATCTTTCATAGCAATCACACTGATTTCGTCCTCCCTGGATAAATGCTGAAACCCTCTGCGAAGATTATTAAGGCTCACGCGAGAATCGGAGACTGATCCGGCAACGAGGCATCGTCCGGCCTCATAAACTGTGGCACGGTACAACTGCGAATTCATGTGATTATATAGCATCGTAAGTCTCGTTTCAATAATAAATTCTATATATTTTATAGCCACCCGGCCATCCCTCATAATAGGATCTCCAAATACATAAACTATGTCACCTCAAACGCTGAACTCAAACTAAGAATTTTATACTCCCTCTGGTCTAGCTAGTTTTTCAGTCTCTGTCCCCACATGCTGTATAGGTCGATCAGAATTCCACCATATTTTAAAAAATAAAATAAAAAATATCTCTTCAATGATCTGCCCCCCGCTCTTCATGCCTTTATGAACGGAACTGAGGAAGTATCATTTGATTCTTTATTTTACCTTTGCCAAAACTAATGATGTCCGAGGATGAATCAACTCGGAACGTTTTTCAACAAAATATTACAACTTGACGAGCCCATCAACGTTAGCAATCATTCCTCTTTTTTTTTTTTTAATCACTAAATCAAGCAGCGGACCTCACCTTGTAGACCAGAATAATCAGGATGTAAAAAAGTTCATTTGGATTTGGCTTCAGAAAAAGGCGTGAACTGAGGAAATTTCCTGTGCATTGTATTCAACAAGAAGATGAGTCTATTATGGCTGATCAAGTCGCGAAGAGGGTAAAGGCCGGATGATTTGTCAATCAACTCGGCACTTTCTTTTCTTTTGTTTTTTTAACGACACGATCACAGCTCAAGCCGTGCAAAAGTAAACTAAATTAGGGCACGTCGGACAGTTGTAAATCTCTGCGCCTCATATAAGAGTCATTGATAAATCAAACATCAAGACTATATTGATCTGCTTGATAGGCAGATTAACATATTCCGGCAGCAGAGTGTTCTTCACTTTCACGTTTTTTTCCAATTCCATCACGGGTCATAGCCTCATAGGAAGAAGAGGACCCTTTCGCTCATAGTGATGATTCCTTTTCAGAAAAGCCCACGTAGCTTTCGAGAGAAAAGAGCTGGCTTATAAGCCACAATTACTAAATTGAAAGGGGTGGCCAATGGAAACATGCCACTTGTTTTGCTGCATTGCTACGATCCTCTACAAAGCTTAGGGTTATGAACTAGGTTCAAGAGTGATACAAAGGTCTATATATGGTCACAATAATCCAAGTGGCCTCCGGGGTCACACACTGAAACCTCACTAGCACGAGTTAGTTTAGATATGAAGGGGTTGAACTGTATGCTCTTAGTAGCTCTCCGCAAGTCTTTTCACCGAAGAATATGTTCCCAGAATTCCACTTACGACTCCCAACACTGCGATTGTGATGCTCAGAGCAACCTGATTATGTCAAGAAAAAATAATAGAATGGATTAGATGAAACTGAGCAATTCAACAGTTCGAAGTTAAGAAATTTGGAACTGTTTCTGACAATAAAGAATTAGAGAGAAAAAGAGGGAGTGAGTGAGAGAAAAGGAAGAAGAGATAAATTCCAATTAGATTTCCTAAGTTTCAGGATAGAAGAGTTAAATTAAGATTAACCAATTAACTAAGTGTTGAAAGATAAGCTGCATACTAACCTGCGTTTTTGTCGCTTTTCCCCGCATAATTTTCATAAAACATAGAGCTGGCATTATGACAGCCTGGGAAGGAAGCCAAAAAAAAAAAAAAAGATTCAGCAACATCTCACTTGGCAGTTTCATGTGAAATTCCCACACTAAACACTGACAGCTATTAACAATAATAAAATAATAATAATCATCAAAGCAATAAGAGTCTAATTCATGTCAGATCAATGTAAACAAAAAATTATGGAGATATAGAGTTGCGAGGCTGTAAGCTGCAAAGAATCTAATGACATTAATAATGCATGTGACCATTTCACAAAATGAAGAAAGAACTACGTTTGAGGAAATTCAATGGCCACTTCTAGTAGTATTACCCATACACAAACTAGGAGCTAACGAATACAAGGCACTAAAATTTGCTGTGGCGCAGGTAATGTTTACTGCATGAATACTAAATAGAAAATAGTCAGCTCAATTAAGAGAGACTATCTATGAGCATCACAGGCACTGGTTCCGAGTGTGCTAAGACCTAGCTTCTCACAAGCATCTGTTAAAGTAGCATAATCTGTGAAATCCTAGAGGAACAGACTGGCTTGCAAATACATGCTGGGTGAAAAAGCTAGATTTTCATTGTATTTGAATGGCAGTCACTTTCGAGAACAAGTTACAATGAGAAATTAAAACCTTAGTTTTCCTTCAGCACATGACTTATTTGTTGACAATGAAGCTTTTTGAATCTACAGTATTCTAAACGTCGTCAGACATTGGCTTCCCATACACGTTTAACTGAAACATATGCTTACCACAAGGATACTGAGTACAGAGCCGATTAGAGCCATCACAAGTCCTGAAATTATAATAAAACAAGTAAGATTTCATCAAGCACACTTTACGAGCATTGACAATTTAAACATTTCTTCTTGCATTGGATAGCCCAGGCAATCATAAGCATAAGTTATCTGAATATTAAAAGCCCACAAAACTAATATTTCTATCCTTGATAGTTAATAAGGAAATTTCCCTTGAGCAAAATGGATGAAAAGGAAAAAAAATCGACAATGATAGGATTTTGTTCAGTATCCGTTACTGATTGGGATTTTATACGATAGAAATTTTTGTATTACAAAAGTAAAGTTTGTAACTTACCGAAGAAAGGAATCAGAAAGGCACAACAGACTGTAGATATAACAAGCGCTGATCTAAGTGTAATGAAACACCAATAGCTATCCACAACTCTGGCAGGTAGCAACTCCTCTATACTTCTCGCCAGCGGGTTCATCAACAAAGCATATTTTGTGAACGGGTTAATTACCTGAAAGAGCAAAGAACAATAATAAACTATAATCCCCAGAAACGTCCAAAAGCAAATAACGATTAAAGAAGCTCAAAGACTTCGCACTCACTGTGGTCCACAATGCAACTTTAGAGACAAAGGAATGTGGCGGCATGTTCAGTGTTATCTGAGACAAGGTGGCTTCACCAAACATGAGATATCCCATGACTGCAACACCTCCATATACTAAAATACACAGAACAAAGCTGAACACATGAAACCCATAGTGAGTTAATCAGGTGTTGGTAAACAAAATTTCTAGCAAGTGCCAAAGAATGTTCTGTACCATATAATTAAGGCGCTGGTGAATTTGGTTTTGTCAGCCATGGACTGGTAAATGTTTGGAAAAACTGAATGTCCTGAGTAGCAAAACCCATAGATACCAATAGCAAATGGAATGCCACTCCAATTCACAACTTGACCTGGGTGATGGAACCCAACATCCGTTGTTACCCCAACAAGAAACACACAAATCACAATAAGAATCGTTGCAACAACCCCTCCAGCTGCAGAATTATTCAGAAAGCTGTGATAAGTGCATGCTAAATTAGGAGCATTTAATAACAAAGAAAAATCTTCCTCAGAATTTGCAAAACCTGAAAGATACGAGATTACGCGAAGGTCCCTTAACCAAACAGTGGGGAGGACAATAAGTGCGGTCAAAATTCCAAACAAGTGCATGGAATCCAGCTGGAAACCACCCCAATCCAGGAACGTTCCAGGAAACAGCCTAGTTAGGTTATCTCCCTCCAAGATGATGAACTCCACACAGTATGACTGCACTCAAGAAAAGAGGTCTTACACATACAATCATACAGAGTAAAAGAACATGGTATTATTTCATATCTAAGAAGAATGATAACAATAAGAACAGATTCAGCACTTACATATAACTCGGTGTACAAAATAATCTGCAAAAAGATCCAAAAGGGAAAATATTAGTAAATACTGGATTATGAAACCACCATTCCGTGTATTTTATAGCAATTTATTTCAGCACTTGGGATTTTCCACTCATGCATAATACATATAGAATTTAGATGAAGCACCAATGGTAGAAGGAATGACACATCACGGAACATATCATTATCTTAAAATAATCTGTAAAAGGATCCAAACACGACAATATTAACGGAGTAGCAAAACCACCACTCTGCCTATTTTAAAAGCAGTTCATGTCAGCACTTGGGATTTTTCTCGCTTATGCATAATACATATAGAATTTACATTGAACACCAATGATTGGGGAAATGACGTGTCATGGAACATGTTACAATCTTAAAATGTAAATAAAACAAGGTATAAATGATAAGGAAGAACTGGAATCATTCAAGAGTAGGCCAAATAAAAGAAGTAGAACACCTCTCACAGGCACTAATAGATTTAGAGGTTATAATATAAAGCTAGAAATGAGCAAATAAAGATATGCGAAGCAGTGCCACAGCCAAAAACAACAAAATCCCAGTTGACACTTCAGACTGCCTCATAAGCATTGCTTAGCAATTAAGCATATTTAAATAACTAAACAAACTCACAGATATGGCAAGACGGCCTGCTCTTCCGAAGGCTGCTTCTCCAATATCTGGATATGTTAGGATGCCTTCTCTGCTTTCAAAGCAGTATCTCATAAGTGTGGCTGTGTAACAACATACAACTGCAAAAAGAACCAGCACCAGCAAACTTGCCCATCCAGCTTGTTTCACTGTATAGGACGTGGACAGAAGGCCAACTCCAGCCATCACGTTAACCCCTGCCAGGTACAGAAACACCTTGGGGAGTGATTAAGTCGAAACAGAACGTGAGAAAGTGGGAGTTCTTGGATGCAAAGGATGAACCAGATAAACAGGAATTCATCATAAAGCTCTTAACAAGGTTTTTAAACCTAAGGTTAACCTCTCATTCGTTTACACTGTCAACCACTAATGTCGCAACAAATCGCTGACTCACTGCGACGAAACAACTTACCATTGAAAACTGTTTGAGTGAGGCTACATCCTTGGCCAATGGGTAATTCTCCAGTAAGTTGCTTTTGCAATGAAACTCCCTCCAACCATGACGATTTCTTTTGAATCAAGTCTTCATGATCAGATAATAAAGGAGTCTTTCCATCTAGGCTTAAACTACTCTTGGAACGATTGACAAAACTTGAATATATCAAACTCGGTGTTCGGAGAACAGCTGCTCCAATATTCGGCGATGCAGCAATTGTGTATGAATCGACAGTCTCTCTATCATAAGAAATCCAAGAATAACAAAAAAGAAAAGGCACCAATCAGTGAGTTAAAGCGGATGACTAGGTTCATCAGGTTTGCTGAAATAAGTGAAAAAACTGGACATCAAATACGAAAAATAATTCTAACGCCTCTTATTAAGTAATCTAAAACATCGGTCCCCCTCCGAATTCGTTATTCTCATCGGGGCCCATAAAATGCTTCACGAGTACCGAATATCAACTTAATGAGCATGATTCGAGGAATTTCAAGGTTTCTAAAATGCATTGTAAAAAAACGGTATTGAAGTTATCATGGGGAGATAGATGCACAAAGAGACAAGTCAAAGAAGACTTTACTTGTAACTCTGGGGCCATTGCTGCGATGAGAAAGTGTCAGGCCCACCATTGCCGTCGTCGTCGCTTCCGCTGTCACTACTACTCTCAATGACAAGCTTGGTAGATTCATCGTCATCGTTGGCATCCTCTTCGTTCTGATCGAAGAAAAACTCGGCATCTTTCTGCTTCTCGTCGCTAGCCATCGCAGATGAACTGTTTAAGAGAAACCAAAAAAAAAGACGCAGTTTTGAAGAACTCCAAACACAAAAGCGGAAGATAAAAGTAAAAACGAAGCAACGCGGAAAGGAATATAATGCCTGATAACGGATCAGTAATATCGAGTGGCAATGAAGGCATACATGTGGGTGCAGACAGAATTCTAGAACGTCGGAGAAGGCAAAGCTGGCTATTGGCGTTTGAGAGCTGGGAGACTCAAGTGGTTGTATTGTATTGTGAGCCGCGAATTATAGGGAAGGAGGAGCTGAGGTGGCGGTTAGTCATCAGCGGGAAATCAAATCAATGGCGACAGAAGAAGACAAGCCTGTGCGTACGCCCACGCGCTTAAACAAATGAGCGTTCTTTGATCCGATCCGCCTCTTACGCTACTTGCCTTGTTCGATTTAGCTACTTCCCATTTATATCCTTGTATTTTTTTACTAATTATAACATCTTGTTTGTATAATCAAAACGGAGGTAGTACATTCATGCCTACGTTACCTTGAGCTGCACAGCTTATTTTTTTCAATCAGGAGTCCAGACTAGTTAATCTTAGCCCCCGATTCTTCCTATGAGTTGGCTTGTTCGCTCAAGAATTTTTAATTCTTTTAATTAGGGAATTTTTTTAATGATTGTTGGCTGGTGATGAATAGTAGGGGAAGATGATAATGTTTTCTGGTGGATGTCCTTATCCCATCTGCCATCAACCGGGGAAGATTCACGAGATCAAAAAGTTATCCCGTCTCAATGTTCAGAATGGGTTCATTTCATCCCAAGTCTATTATGAACATCCTTGTTTTTTCAATGTAAATTAGAAAAATATATATTAAATTTTAGTTATTTAATTAATTAATACTACATTCATTCTTTAATACAGGAACTAATTAACCAATTTAAGTAGATTAAAAAATCAGTTAAATTAGTTATTTATAATAAATAGATATTTTTAAAAAAATGTTCTTATTAATGTAGAACTATTATTATTATAAAGATAATTTTAAGATAAATGAATATAAAAAATAAAATAATGATAGTATTATCTGGATAAAATTTATTATATTTAGAATTAAAATAAAAATTAAATAAATTGTTATATTAAGAGACTTTTTAAGTAAAAATTACTATATAATGAAGCATGGCTACAAAGAGAGCGATAAAATAAGGTCACGTCACTGGGGAAGCAAAGTGGGAAGGTGGAAGAGAAAAACGACGGGAGAAAGAAGGGATGGGCTGAATTTAGATGGCAGCCAGAATGACCACGTGCTGAGTAGTGAGTACGTGGTTATATTTCGCATCGCCCAATGTGCGACAAAAGCAATACTCCCCCTTTCATGTCGCCTGCTTCCCATTTTCTACCGCCTTCCTCTATCGCCTCCCCCCACTTCCCAATCACAGCCAGCCTCACCCCTCCTCACCTCGTTGCCTCTATTCCCAATGGCCTTTAAATTCAAGTAAGATTATGAGAGATTATCAGCCCCATCATCAGAAAAGTCCGCACTGGTAGTCATTTTTAATTCACTTGCCATATATACTTTCTTCCCCTCCTTGAAAGCGTTTTAACTTTTAAGAAAGCGAGCTTTAATTGGTTTATCAAAGACGTTGAGGCCCCAGGCTTAATATTAAAATCATTGTTATGCGTGTCACTCACCCCAAATCTGGGCTTTCACTATTATTGCCTGAAAATTAAATAAAAGCGAGCAATTAAAAGCCAGATAATCCAACGAACTTCATAAATACGAATAAATAAAGTGATCAGCGACATTTTGACTGTGATAGCGATCCATGCCACGCATCTCAGTACCTGGCACTGAATTCTGAAAAGTGGAGCATGTGTCTGCCGCTGCCTACTATAGTCTGCAACAATGAAATGGATGGATAACGAACTCGTTTAACATCCTCGAGATTTTATGACACATTGAATAATCCAAACATCTTTTCACACATACACGTCACTTGCTGGATATAAATTATAGTTAAATTAAATATTACACGTGCTATCTGTATATCACTGAACTCAAGGTGCTCATGGAGTGAGCGGTAATTAAGTTTAGCCTTTTTTTTTTTTTTTGCTGGCCACTGTATCTTTTTATTAGAAGCCATCCGTTCCAAGTATTGTTGAATATTAAATATATTTACTTTTTTCAGCAAGAATTCAAAGTTTGTCTCGTCAAGTCATGAGGAACTAAAGCAAGTTCTTCAAATATACCCAACCCTGTCCGGGCTTGGTCTGTAGAATAAATATACAAAAAACAGATTCTTGTTTGAAAGAATTACAATAAGGGCCTAGAAAAGGAAAATAACTATCAACAAATCCCAATGACTAGTTAAAAGTTGTCATTTTCTATTTTAAAATTTGTCGTTATATACTGTTTAGATCTTTATTGGAATTTCTTAATAATTACATTTTTTTTTGGAAACTTGATGGTAATTCTCGCTCCTTGTCTTCGGTTGCAACAAATAGGGCTTTAAAGCAGGCCTTTC